AGCATAGTTAATGAGCTTGTGTACTAAAAATATTTTATGTGCAAGTAACATTGAATATATTTCAAACATTTGCCAATGTTATAAGACATGATACACAACATTTATCACAGTCCTTAAATAGATGGCACTCAGCACCAAATTTTGTTGGTAAATGAAGTGATCACTCATTCAAAATCATTGATTCATACATTCATTCAAAAATACTTATTGAATACTTAATGTGCCAGGTTTTGCACTAGTTGTTGGGAGTCCATGGTCAGCCAAAAAGGGAAAAAAAGGGCACAGTCCCTGTTTTCATGGTACTTATAATCTAGTAGGGGAGATAGAAATCATTCAAAGGTTGATATGAATACATGTAAAACTAAAACACATGGTGAAGTATGTGGTGTTATGAGAGGATTGAGTAAGAACTGGCTGGGTAAAGTTAGAGAGGATGACTCTTCTATGGTTGAGCTGAGATCTATAGGCTGAGTAGACATTAACTAAGCAACACTGGGAGTCCTGGGTGCGGGTGGGGTGTGGAGGGGCAGAGGAGTAGGGTGGGCAGGGGAGTGGGAACTGAAAACCTGGCTGGCAAAAGAGATTATCTGCTAATGTCTCGAAGCAGAAGGGAGCATGATGAGACAGTGAAAGTCTTGTGTGGCAGGAGGAAGATGTAGATTGATTCACAGAACAATGATGACAGTGGTCCAAGATTTCTAGGTGTCAGATCATAAATTCTCACCTAAGCCATGCTATGCATTTTGCTCAGTATTCAAAGAGAGGCGGAAAGCAACATGTACATCACATGTAGGAAGCAGCCATAATTGTGTTTAATATTCCTTGAGTATTTTCTTTTAACATAATGTTGAATTTATATGAAAGAATATGTACATTTTAAATTAGAAAACATAATAACATAATAACGACCAATGACCCCCTACCCCCACCTCCAGCCATCTGAAGAATGAGAACGTTACCAACAGCTTGTAGCTGCCTGTGTGCCCTGGCTGCCCCTCACAGAGACAGCTAGTAGGTTGCATTTTTCATACCGTGCTGCATGTCTTCTAGGAATTGTTTTGTTGTTTTTCCCCTGTCAACTTGATGTGTCTGAGATTCATCAAGGTTGTGGTGTTTTGCTCTGAGACTCTGGTTTATTCACGTTTACCACTGTATAGTATTCCACTCCGGGAATCTACTTCCATTTATTGATCCATTTTTCTGTAAGCGGCTATTTGTTTTGATTCCAGGTTGGGTTTGTTTTGTTTTGTTTTTGCTTTTTGCTTGTTGTTTTGCCGTCAAGGCTAACATGAATGTCTAGGGTGTAGTACTGTGTGGCTCCTGGGGCACGTGTTTTGGAATTGCTGGGTGAGAGCGTATGTTTTCCAGAGCGGTAGTACCAATATTCATTCCCACAGTCGATCCACATACTCGCCAACAACTGGTTTTGTAAGACTTAAGTTTTGCCAGTCTAGTGGGTTTGAAATGGTGTCTTATTATAGTCTTAATTTGTATTTCCCTAATTGCTATTAAAGGTGAGCTTTTTTTTCATGTTTTTTGGCCATAGGTGCTTCTAATGTGAAATACCTGTTTAGTTTTTTTTTTCCACTTTTCTACCAGATTATTCTTTCTCGCTGATTTGTAATCATTCTTTATGTATTTATATAGTTTGAATTCTAGTCCTCTGTTGTTTCACAACGCTCTGAATATACAACCCTCTGAGCGGAGAATGAATTAGAAGGGCACCAAGTGAATACGAGGAAACCATTTAGGGTGTATAGTGTTTCCTAATGAGCAATCGCTGTTTGATAATCTTATAAATATATTTAATATAGTTTTATATTCCTTACCTGTTAAATATTAGGAAGGAAATTGCTTTGTCCTGGCAGAACTTGGAATATTGGTCGCCCTACTAACAATACTTTAAGAAAAGTTGGGTCTAAATTGGCTTCTGAAGAATTCTGCTTTGTGTATCCACTAGGGGTGGTTGAGACCTATGCACGTGTAGGTGTTATTTTTATGAAACCATAACATATTGATCAAGTTGGCCTCAAAGTAACCTACAAAATGAATGCTGCTTTTCATTTGCCTTCTCTCAAAAACTTGTGGAAGGTTGGAGCTGGATAATTTTGTCAGCAGTTAAAGCTATGGCTGTCTTCATGGCAGTGGGCATCGTAATATCCTGTATGTGCCATCAGTTGTGCAAGTCTTATTTTCTTTTAAACATTAAACAAAATATCACAATAACTGTTTACCTAGCATTTATTGTGGGCTAAGAACATAAAGCTTTTCATGTATAATTTCTAATCTTTAAACTAGTCCTGCAGTATGAGTATTATTATACACCGATGGGGAAACTAAGTCTCAGGGTAATTAAGTAAAATTCTTGAGATCAAGAAGCCAGTGGCAAAACCCAGGTCCAAACCAATTACATTGGTCTCTGAAACATTGTCATTTCCACCAAGTACACTGCTTTCCAATGTTGGGAGCTTTCATAAATTGCATGTATTATGTGTTCAATTGTATGTAGCTATTATCTCATTTAAATCTCAATACCTTCCTTTGATGTTATACTATGTAGACCTCCTCTTCATTCCATAGATTCAAATAATATTGCTCTTCTACCTGAGGAACTTCTAAATATATTCTGAATTTATTAAAATTTGGGTTTATACTTCTTTTGTCAAAATATTTACGTTGATAAGTAACCCAAGTGCTAGTTTTCTCCTTCCCTTTTAAGGACAATTTCATTCTAGTATTTTTGGAGACAGGGAGGATCTCTCTCTCTCTCTCTCTCTCTCTCTCTCTCTCTCTCATAGGTCTTCTATCATATTAATTGCAGATCAGTAGATCATAGCTTGGAGCTCATAGACGGCACTGAAAATATAAGACACTCCATAGAAACAGGAAGGTGAATATGGGCTGCAGAGGAGTGCTGGTCTACCTCTTTATGTGTTGTTTCTTAACTCCTGTTACACCACCCTGCAAAGTCGGACCTACCTATGTATCAATCTTTACTAAATTGATTTGGAATTATAACAGGAATTATAGCACTTGAAGATCTGAAACAGCAAGCTAAATATGACTTTTACCATTGTCCAGGATCAAAACTTTCCCATTGTATTTAATATTATTCAGATCAAGGTCAGTTCTCTCATTTATTCCCATCTTCTCTCACTCCTTCTTTATCCTCTTGTGTTTCCTGGGACCTCCCATGAGCTGAACCTATTATTGAGATATATACCTCACCATACCACCCCTCAGCGACATAGTCTTTGCAGAAGCTTTGAAATTACCACATGAAATTCCATTTTCCTAGCCTTGGGTATGAGTGCACATGCTTGCATTGGCAGCATATTGATTTTATTTTTTTTCAGTAACAAATAGTACTCTAGTAGGTTTCTGTACTGTATACCAGCAGATTATGGGCTTAACTTTAGTGGTGGTGTGCACTGCCATTTGAGTGTAATTTTATGAGATAGTGATTTATGATGTGTGAGTCTAGTAGCTTTGCTTCAATATGCAAATGGTATCTTAGGCTTGCCTGTGCGCCTCTTGCTTATTTACTCTTCTCTCAACTCTTTGTGTTCTGGAGATCAGATGAAGATGGCTTACTCAGAAAACTAAACAATTACAAGCAGAAACATCCATTCTCAAGTACTATCAGTAAGGGGTTGCATAAATTCTCAACCTCTGAATTTAAGCAAGGTCATATATAAAAATGGCTGAAGTTGAATATGATATCACTCACTATGCTTCTTGGAAATAAATACTGAGAGGCTTTTATTATACCACAAAGAAATAGTTCCCTTTCCTCTTCGCTATTTATGGGGCACATACTCATCCCCTAATAAGGCCTTCTCAGAAACCCTGTTTGTCTAGAGTCTGGGATATTTGATAAACCTGAATTGATGACCAAAATCACTCTTAGCTCCAGCATGATCATCAAATGCTTAAATATCATCATTTACTGTTTAAATGTTTAAATTTTACAAATGGAATCAAGTGGTCTGGTGAGGATTATTTATATTGAAAAAAGTGCCATATGTCTCCCCATATTTGAAAATTATTTTAGCATATGCTGCAAATTGCTTTTTANGTCAAGGGAGTAAAAATTTCCTTGCAAGAAGGGAGAAATAAAGTCCATTCTAAAAAATAACTGTCATGTCAGAGTTACCTTGATTTTACTCTATCTTTTAGTTCACCTGGGTTTCTATTTTTCAAACCCCTTGACACTGGGTGCTGCATTTGTGTTACATGTAGCTCCACAAATTCCAACTCACAAGTTTCTGATTTTCAAGTTCTCTAAAATGAGTTAAGTCAAAGTCATAGCACAGGAGCCCCTAACCTTCAAAATACTGACATTTATCTCTCAGGATGTTTTATAAACTTTCCCCAAGTAAGATCCTTCTATAAATTACTCAAGTTTGAGGAATCTGCTGGACGTTTCCTCAGCCACCAGAATTGGCAGGATGTCCTCAAAATATCAGGAGGTGCCTATATTCCCTGTCTGCTGCCGCCCAGATCATGCAGCAGCATCGCTTGTCACTATTTTAGCATTAAGTAGCAGCTAGATTAAAATGCTACATCAATACCGATAAAGATTACTTACAAACCTCAGGCATAAAGGGCACGCTCCTTTCATAAATGGGAATATTCTCTTTGCCAGGATTAATTAGATCTGAAAATTCTAAATTTAAGAAACTCTTTTCTTGAAGGGCACATTAAAATTTATTGACTGCAGAAATATTTAGCTTAACCAGTGTTGCTTGAAAGTCTACAAAAACAATTCACACAGTGTATCTGTGTTCTGTGTGCAAAGTCATTTCATCAATACTAATCAATTAATTGTTAGACTGCAAATCTTAATCTTTGACTTACCTTTGACTTAATCTCAAAGTTAAATCTTAATTATATTTTAAAGGTCAAAAGACTAAGGTGATTCTGGTATTTTTATGTCATAGGATTTCTAGTGCTTTTATGTTAAATAGAAGTTATTCTATAAACATTTTGTTTTCTAGACGTGTATTGCTACTCATGAATCCAATGGGATTGATATCATCATTGCTTTGATTCTAAATGACATAAACCCTCTTGGTAAATACCGAATGGACCTGGTGCTCCAACTAAAGGTAGAGTAAATCCACTATTCGGGGGGAAAAGTGACATTGTCTGTATAAAACTCCCTTCTAGAGTTGACTCTAAATCTTCAAGTAGCTCCTGTAAAAACCAAGATATTACCATATTATGAATGAATGAATTGACAGAAAAGATTAGTGAAAGCACAACATGCACTAAATTCCTAATAAAATGTCAAATAAACTTTGAGGTAATGTTCAGTTGGAAGACACTTTATTGGAAGTTCTTGTGGGTAGCTGCTTTGTTTCACTACTTCTCTTCTGTTTTTATTTTATATTTTTCATTATATAGAGGAGCAGAAGATGTTGAACATTCACTATACCATATTTTAATAATTCATCTTGAGCATAGAATTCTATCAAGTCAAAATTAATTGCACTATGTAAAAGGAAGGCTGCATTTTAATTTTATGGCTTTCTTCTTTCTAAAAGTTGAGTTTTTTTACATTAAAATCTTGTTTTTTCCCCAAATACCATAAGCCATTTTCACACTCCCTTTGAGAAGTTACTTTAACTTAAGCCATGCACGTACTTCCCAGCAGTTCCATTTATCAGAATTTAGGGACAAAATGACATTTAAAAAAATGTCTTCAATTTTTTGTTCAAATGGAAATAGACCAATTAATATACACAAGAACCTTTATAAACCCCAAATACAAAAGCATGATATTCAATTGAGGTGAATTATTAAAGACCACATTATTGTGTTTAGTGTTAAACAGGTAAAAAAATAAATCATTATTGTTAAATACAATTTTTCTGTTAAGACAGGTCTATCCAATATCATGGCAAATATAATTAAGTTTAACTTTGTATAGGTAAATTTATGATCAAGAAGAATGATATTTTTATAGTTCTGTTTCTAAATATGGATTTAGATAGACACAGAATGTATATACGTCCTATTTATGTGAAGATTGTGCTAATGGCTCTTAATAAGCTCGTTTCTTTTAATAGAAGAGATGAGTTCGTGTTTTTTCACTGTGTTCATTCACAATATGTATAAGCTTTGGGCCCTTCTATTCATAGATTAGAGCAAAGGTATTCCTCATGCAGATTGAATTTGTGTCTTTCTCCTCATTTGCATCATGCTTCAGTTAGGGAAGCCAACCTAAGCCTGTATGACAGATAGCTTAATTTGAGTTACTAGAAATATTTTTATTTCATCCTAAGTTCATCTTTGACCATAATTCATAAAGAAAAAAACATATAGGAGCCTTAGCCTTTGGCTTTTCAAATCCTTCACTAGTCTAAAAACTATACCTTTAAATCTCATTTTTAATTGATGTAGCTTAACTGGTGAAAGTACTAAATGATTCATCAATTTAAAACAAAGTATTGCATACAGATTATTTACAAATCCAGGCCTATGTAAAATAACCAAATGATGAGGTATGACTTAAGAGAAAATGATAGTATTAGCTATTCAAATTGAAAATGCTTTTTTGAAAAGGGGTCATTTAAAATATCACTTACGTTACTAAGCACAATTTATGTATAACTTTTCAAAATATGTTAGATAAATCTAGGTATGTATAAAATACCAAACGAATGGATTTGACTTGAAATATTTAAAGTATAGTTTTCTATCTAAACTCTCAGTGAGGCAGGTCTTGTACATAATGGCCGGTATGACAAGATGTTTATAAGACAGAATTATATGTATTGGCAAATTTTAGAGCATTTCCCTGGGTAGGGTGCCTTTAATTATAAATTCTCTGTAACATTATACAGATATCATATTAAAAATGTTAAGGTTTTATTTTATATCATTCACCCTAAATTTATTTGCTTAATAATCATGTATAATTTTAAGTATACTTAATCCTATATACTCATTAACTATACAATTTTATGAAGTTTTTCATATGTCTTGTCCTTTGCTTTTTAATTTACATTTCATAACCAGTCTGTGACTATGAAATGCTGAATTTGCAAATCGGTATTTTTTTTTGTTGTTTTCTTTTGTTTTTAGGACTCTAACTTCCTTTCAAAGGAAACCCTCTATTAACACTGACACACGCATTTGATTTCTCAGTGTATATAGACTCTTGTACTTTCAAATTGATTCAAATTTCAGTAGGTCATTTACAAGTTCTTTTTCTTCTAACATAGTATAAAAAAGAAGCTAGGTTAGAAAAAAAAAAGGCCATAATGCCAATAGCATTCTGAAATTGGATGTATTTTTAAGCTATTATGTATTGGGCCTGCTGAGTGAGGTTCATTAGAGAATATTGCTATTGTTGCCAAGGTTTTAGCTTTGAATTCTATGGGGTCAGCTCAGATGGCTCTAAGGATTTAAGCTCTTCTCTAATCCTGGAACCTTATTTTTTAGGTGTGTTGTTTGTACGTGATGCTACATTATACAGATGGATTATAGGATTGGTACAAATCTTTAAAATTGTTAAGTGGCAAATGGATTTTAGGATTGGTATAAATCTGTAAAATTGTTAAATGGAACAGGAAAAAATAATGCCACCTCCCCTACAAAATATTAACATCTGTTCAGGATGGGTCAGTAACATTGGTTTGTCATCGTCATCATCATCATCATCATCATCATCATCGTTACTAATATTAGTCATTTAAAGATCATCTTTAGATTGTACTTTTAAAAGAAAAAAATAGTTGTATAAAATTTGGTATTATAGCTACTCAGTAAAATTAATTTATACAACTTTGACAAAATTTGTGTGGTGCATATCTACATACACCCAACAGCTGATTCAATTTAAGCTTTCATCCTATAAGATGTTCATTTTGAGTCACTAATAAGCATCCTAAAGCCATTTGATTCTACTTCTTTTATGCTCCTATCAAAGATTGTATGTGGAGGTTGAGATTTTTATCTAAATGAATATTACAAAAACACTGTAGATTTGTCTTCCGGGTAATTTTTATCATTTTGCAATTTGCCACATTTCTAGGATAGTGCTGTTGAAAACAGCGTAAAGAAACATCTTTCCAAATGTTGAGGATTTTGTGCTTTGTGTAGCAAGACTTTCTGTAACTCTGTGGTACCTATTTTGGATAATAAATTGACTATATTAGAAACATTTTTGATATCTATAGTTGAAAACATTTGAGACAATATATTTATAAACCAAATTAGAAAACATCAAAGGCAACGTGAACTATTTTCATTCTCCATTAAACAAAAATAGAAAATATTCTTCTACAACCCAGATGGTAAACGTGTGTATAGTGAGACTAGTAAACCCATTATCAATAAATTTATGTTTTACTTNGGCTGAGTGGCTCAGTTGGTTAAGAGCTCACTCAAGAGTTTGAGCTCTGAGCAACAGCGGTTCGAGTCCCGGCCTGAGCTGAGCAGCTGCTGAGCTGCCAACAGGTGGCAGGATGGCTCAGCTTAAAAAAAAAAAGTATTAATTTAAATAAAAAATAAAAGTTTCCATTTTTGCTTACCCTTTCACCAGGTTTACTCCCCCCCCCAAAATTACTTTTAACTGTTGTTTTTCCTTCCAGAAACCTTTATGTGTATATAAGCATATTGATCTGTAAGCATGTATACCTTTCTGAAAAGCACATTATATAGTGTTCCTCAACTTACTTTTTTTCAGTTAGTAATACATTTTATTGCTAAATTACTACTACTATTTTATGTTTATATCAGTACGTATTGATGTACCTCATTTTCATAGCTTCACAATATTCCAGTGTTTGGATGTACTATTTATTACACCAGTCACATTGTGATGGGTACGGTATGGTTTCCAGTTCTTTGCTATTACAAACAGTGTGCAATGAATCTCTTTGTGGAGATACACACACACACCCACACACCAGCTTTTGAAAAGTGGAATTGTATGTTAACTGAAAATTGTTATAGGCACTTCCAAGTTTCCCTCCAAAATGGTTGTATCATTTAATGATTGAATCCACACAGTTTATAAGGGATCATTTACTTGAAAACATGGTTGTTTTTTTCCCTAATGAACTTCTCTCTAGTTTCCTTTTTCTTTCTCCTTTTCCTACTACCATTATTTTGCCCTCTCTTTACAGTTTTACGGTAATGACATTGAGAAATATTTAAGAACTATACTGATAAATATAGTTGCTTGAGGAAAGCATCTAAGAGGCTTCTTTTTCTTCTTGAACCTGGGAGAAATTTAAAATATGAACACTTTCTTATAAAGAACAATTCCATTTGACATTGCCATGGGGACCTTTTTGAGTAAGCAACACACACACACACACACACACACACATACACACACACACACACAACTGAAAACAATTAGCACAATGATTTTTTTAACCCTTAGGTTATATTTTCTTTTGCCTTCAGAACTTCTTGAGGAATCAAAACAACAAAACAAATTACAACCTTGTCTGTGAGACCCTTCAGTTTTTGGACTGCATTTGTGGAAGTACAACAGGTGGCCTGGGCCTGTTGGGTCTCTACATCAATGAGAAGAACGTAGTGCTGGTCAACCAGACTCTGGAAAGCTTGACTGAGTATTGCCAGGGCCCGTGCCATGAAAATCAGGTAACCGTGAAAGCAGTTCTTCAGAACTATTCATGAATAATTAGCAAACAGATCAAATTGGTGAACAAGTCAACCTTTGTGTACAATTAAAACATTTCTTGGGGCCGGCTGAGTGGCTCAGTTGGTTAGGAGCTTGCTCAAGAGTTTGAGCTCTGAGCAACAGCGGTTCGAGTCCAGCCCGAGCTGAGCAGCCACTGAGCTGCCAACAGGTAGCAGGATGGCTCAGCTAAAAAAAACCCAAAAAAACAAAACAAAACAAAACAAAAAAACATTTCTTCTTGTTTTGCCAGGTATTTTTACTTTCCTAACAAAACATATAATGACTGAATTAGAGACTAGCAAATGCTATGCCATATTTTATTTATTCTCATTGTGAAAGAAAATTTCCATGAAGATGTTCCAGATAAAAATCAGACTTATTAGAAAGAGTAAAATATGTTTTTTCATTATTGCTCAGTTTTCATCTTTAGTGAATCTTTCTAGGATTTGTGGAATAAACTCCCTTTGGTTTCTTTGGACCCGCTACAGTTTCTTTGTACCCACTATATATTAACTCCTTTATAGTCACAGGAAACTTATGAAATTTATGAAATGGGTATTATTGTTTCCATTTTGCTGATACATAGGTTCTGACTCAGAGATTAAGTGACGTTCCAGTGTCTCAAAGTGACAAATGGTAAATTGTAGAGCCATTCTTAAAACGTAGGACTTTTGATTGAGTCTAAATGGAGTGCTCACTGACTGTATTACATTTTTGAGTGCAAAGTTTCAACTCTCTCTTCCAGAATGTTTGCCTCTGATTCTTTTCTTGGGTATCAAAGACACATTGTGGCATTAGAAAACAGGCCACTTGAGCTAGTAAAGGGAGGGAAGCCACCCTGGAGTTTATTTGTTGACTGTTCACCTCCACTCAAGTGTTATGCGGCTGCCATCAAAAGTTTGGGTCCACCCTGGAAGAAAAATTTCAAATCACAAACATTTCTGGATATAAATTTTAAAGAAGCCGTTGAGAGCAAGCATCAGTACTTAACATAGAAGAGAAATATGAAAAAGAAACCTGCTTTTCTATTGCAAATTACGTGGTCTATACATACACATATATAGTATATATGTATACATACATATGTGCATAAACATATGCATACACACACACACAAACTAAAAACACAACAATTACTGACATAAATAATTTGTTATGGAGATACTTTTACCCCTCAGTAATGTGCNAGGGGTTTTGGTTGTTGTTCCTTTTTGTTCTGTCTCTAGTGCAAGCAAAGGGCCTGGCACATAGTAGACACTCAATAAATATGTGTTTAATCAGTACATGATTTTATAATAACATAAAAACCAAACAACTCTTTGCATTCTACTTTTTACAGTGCCTTATAAATTTTTATAAGAAATAGTCAGTAAGGATGAATTAAATACCATATGAAAATATGTTGGATTTTAGTGAAAATACTAAGCAAATACAGGCTATTATTGGTATACATTAAATAGTACAGGTGAGTGGCAAAAGCTTTCAGTTTATTATTTATGCAATAATGGGCAGTACATTAAATGTGTACTTTGATTCATAATGCTTATGTTGGTTTCAAGCATAAAAACGCTGTTTTTCTCCCCTTGGGTATTGATACCTTAAAATATGTTTTCTTGCAGTATTCTTTCTACCAACAATTGCATGAACAAAAAAAGTCAGAAAAATTCTTCAAAGTTCTATATGACCGAATGAAGGCTGCTCAGAAAGAGATAAGATCAACAGTGACAGTGAATACTGTAGACCTGGGTAACAAAAAAAGGGATGATGACAATGAATTGATGACATCCGGTCCACGAATAAGAGGTAAAGAAATATTTGAGTTTTGGGGAGAGTAGAGTGAGAGAAAAGATGTTAATACAGTGTTTAGATCTCACTTATTTTTGTCATTTCACATCATAGTCTACTTATCCCAACTGTGGCTCTGAGTAAGGACTTCCATCCTTAAATTATGGTGCTAGGGTTGACCCTGAAACAGCTCTGAGGGCCCAAACTCAAGGCATTATTAGTGCAAAGCAACTACAGCAGGTTCTTGAATATCATTGTTTCATTCAATGTAGGTCATCTCATTATAACATTAATGAAATGCCGTAGGAACTTAACGTTTATTTATATCATTTAGCTTGTGGTAAAATTGGTTTTGTTTTGTATATTTCACTTAAAGTCACAGAAACTATCAACGGCATTAAGTGGGGGCTTACTGTAGTGACATGAAAATGTTTGATTGTGAAATGCATGGTATAGAACAACTGTCCCCAACCTTTGAGTGTTGATGAAACTTAAAATTTAAGAACAGAAATTGCACCATACTCTAATGAAAGACTCTTGGTTTTCGGGATAACGAAGTCATCAATGTGGTAAAGACAAATCATAAAAAATTTTATATTTTGAAGTTTGCCATATTTCCCCACCTTGTATTCATGAGCTCTCATATTTTAGATTTATCAGAAAGATATAAACCCTTCTAAAATCAGCAAAACAGTAAGAATTTTTTTTTAATGTCCCACTGCAAATAAAATTTTTTTAGTTGCTACCTAAAATTCTTTTTGGAGAATTTATTGTACTTCTTGTCAGATGATTTTTAATTCAGTTGTTAAAGAACTTGGAATACCCGGTTGTCTTTTTTTTAATTAGCAAAAAGAAATTAATTCAGAAATATAAGCACACTGCTTTATTTTCAGTGAGAGATTCATCATTACATTTAAAAGAGGGAATGAAAGGGCAATTAACAGAAGCGTCTTCAGCAACATCCAAAGCATACTGTGTATACAGAAGAGAAATGGATCCAGAAGTCGACATTATGTGTACAGGATCAGACGCAGGAAACGCCGAGGAAAAGTCTGCAGAGGAGGTAACGATGAGCCCTGCAATTGCCATCATGCAGCCGATACTGAGATTTCTTCAGTTGCTGTGTGAGAATCACAACCGGGAATTACAGGTATTTGTTCTATTTTGTGTGAAAGCTGAGAAAACAGCCTATGATTTTAAGTAGTTAAGCTCACGTAAAAAACTAACCAGTAGTTTAGGAGAGAGTTTGGGAGGAATAATCAATAAAACCAGTAATGCTTTTCTGAAATGGGAAGAAAGTTTTGTACCTAAGTGACGAACAATGAAAGGAAAATTCCTTTATGCATGAAAAAGTCAGGCTCACACAGTTTCATTTTTTGTGTCCTCGACTTACACCGTTTTAAGCTCAGTGAGCACCGTTTAATCCCAGTACTCCGGTACCTGTTGAGTAAGGTCGCATTTGCCTCACCTGTACCATTCACGATTTTATAGGTTTCAGGGGATGTCATCATTTATAACCCAATTCATATTTCTTGAGTGAAGGTACTGAGTATATTTATGCCTTTGTTAGAAATAGAGTTACTGTAGGAGAGGATTGTTTTACAACGGTGGCAGTTGATACCCTTGCAAATGAATACAGTCCTGCTCTTACATCTTCTTTGGTACGTTTCCCTTTGCCAAATAGATAAACTTAGCAGTAGCTAGGAATTTTGGCTTTTTTGTGCGTGCATTATTTGTACACACTGCTTGCATCATCGTGGCAAAACCACATGAAAGGTGAAATAATTTCTAAGAGCACATGTTTAATATTAGAGGGACAGCAGAGTTTGAAGCTATTTTCTCTAGTAAGGGTCTAGCGTAGAGATGTCCTGCATTGGTAAGAGATGATAGATTTATGTAAATTGAATTAAATATCCTCCAAGGGGATAAGCTTGGGAATGAATAAATGGTAGAAGTCATGACTCTTGTGGAGAGGGCTGCGACAGAGCTGTCAGCAAGCAAAAGCCAGAAGCGTACCTCCCAGAAGGAGGACNTTGCATTTAAAGTAATTATTGATAAGGATGTGCTTATTGCATTTTATTTATTATTTTCTGGTTTTTATAGTTCTTCCCTGTTGCTGTCTTCTTCTATTGTTGGTTTTTTTTTGTTTTGTTTTTAGCTGAGGCATCCTGCCACCTGTTGGCAGCTCAGTGGCAGCTCAGCTTAGGTCGGGCTTCGAACCACTATTGGTCAGAGATTGCACTCTTGAGCGAGCTCTTAACCAACTGAGCCACTTCTCTTGTTTTCTTTCTTTGTGGTTTAATGACTTTCTCTAGTGGTATGCCTATTCCTTTCTCTTTTTCTTTTGTGTATTTTCTATAGGTTTTTGCTTTGTGATTACCGGGAGGCTTACATATAACAACTTATATTTGTAAGAGTCTATTCTAAGTTGGTAACAACTTAAGTTTGATCCCATTGTAAAGCTCAACATTTTTACTCACCCACCCCCACATTTTGTTTTTGATGTCACATTTTACATATTATTATCTTGTGTATCCCTTGAGTAATTATTGTAATCAAAGTTATTTTTATACTACTACTTGAGTTTCTTAACCTTCTTACTAGCTTTATAAGTGATTAATTCACTATCTTTACTATATATTTACTTTTACAGTGAAATTCTAAAAGATAGTAACAAAAGAAGCTGCTGTTGTTTTGTAATAGAGTTGGTTCATTGAGAAGATTTCTAGGTCTCTTATAGAATAGCAAAATACATATATAGAACAGAAAAATATAAGGGCAGATAGGTTATAGCTAGAAAGACGAAAAAGAATTTTATGTATTGAGGAACTGAAAGGTAAGATGAAGGACAAGTTGAAGGAAGTAGAACACTTAGAATTAGGATGTGGAAAAGGTATAGTTTTAGAGAAAGAAATCTGGTGACAGTAATTGAGTCAAACTAGAAAAGGAATGATGAGATTGAATGTGAGTAAAAAGGAAAAAATTACAGGCTGAGCATTAAAATCATATTGGCTACTATAATGAATATAGCATGTGTACATGGGCAAGGAGTTACTTCAAAAGCTATAGCATTGTAGAAGGAAAACAGCAAAGAAGAGAAAGGAAGAGTGAGTGGTAATAAGTGTTAGAAGAAGGAAGTTGGGGAATATGGCCACCCATATTCTCTTGACTGAAAGCTAGCCTTGCTCTGTCTAGAGATGCTGTCCCCTGTACATGAATGAGCAGCTTTGTGAACAGGACCTGATCATATAGCTTTTAAGTGAGAAACGAGCAACTCGACCAGCTAAGTTAGCTCTGAAACCAGTAGAGTGGTAGATATTTGAGCCATATTACCCCATGTCCATGAAGAAGATGTTTAGAAATGCAATATCATATTACCAGTATAATATGAGTAACAATAAAAAGGTCAAGAAAATACTTATGTTAGGTCAGCTCAGTTTTAAGCAGGTTAAATGTAAGAATAGAGTATACAAATTTTAAAAACAGGCTAAGGTGGATGTTGAGAAGAACAGAGAATGAGGATAAAGAATGGAAGTGCTAGTCATAGATCAAATGATAATGATATAAAATATGAAAGAAGTTAAAACCAGAGGCAGCATAAATGTCAATGATTTTGATAGATTTGACTTTATGAAAGTGCTTGGAGAGAACAGATTAAATTCAAAGATGGTGGAATTCTCAGGATTTCAGAGGTAGTAAAGAAGTAACAAAGGGTTAGGAACAACATACTGAAATGAAGACATAAAACAATGGATGTGAAAATGACTTAATATATAGAGGTTTCTTAATTTTTCAAAACCAAAATGTTGGAAAAAAAGTAGTTTGCAGAGCCAGGATGGTACAATAGAGAAGTACATAAATAAAGCCAGACTTCAGGAAGAGAATGTCAGACTGAGTAAGGGGGAGGAGATTCTGAATTGCTGAATTCTTTAAGCCTTGTGATTAAGCTGTAAGAGAGTAACTATNAAAAGAAAAGTTTATTTTAGTTTGTGTATTGAAATATATGAGGAAGATGTGTAAAAAAAATGTTTGTACCCCTCAAAAATTATATTTATACTTCTTTCTGAACAATAACAATAAAATCAATATCCTTTTTATATACAATAAAATCAATATACTTATTCTTATCAGTGAAATGTTGCACAATGCTTGTCCTAAAGAAAATTGTGTGGAGACTTGATGAGGAGTCCACAGAGATCATTATTGCGCCTTCCTAATGTAGAAATTATATTTTCCTCCTCACTTGTAACATGGAAATCATGAAGTGATATTGGCATGCTTTAAAAGCATTGGGTTTCAAAAGCATTGAGTACATAAACCATGTATAGCTCAATGTCCTAATGACTAAACCCCGGTCTTAGGAGCACCACTGTTGGCGCTATGGGGAAATGCTATGAAAGGCATTCTTTTGTCCTCTCTTTAATGGAATGGAGTTGAGGAGGACAGATGAAGAGTAAGATAAGATGCATTTTGATTTAACATATGTTTAATGAGAGCCTAGTATCTGTAAGGCAACAGGCTAAGAGGAACAAGACCTTCCCTATTCTTATGGTTAAATGGGACAAAGAGATATATTCATTCAACAACAGCACTGTACAAAAGCCTGTTGAAAAATATTATTTCCTCTGCCTACAACCCCTTTAGCCCATCATCCACTGTCTCCATGCCCCTGCCTTGCACCTAATTAGTGCCTCACACTTAGCCTTCCTGTAGGTAGGACTGTTGTTCTCACCTCTTGATTTACCTACTCTCCCGCTGGACAGGAAGCTCCCTGAGGGCAGATACTCTATTCTATCCCCCCTTGGGTCCTCAGTGCAGAGGATAATGTCCAGCACTGTGTATCTCTGTTATCAAGTGGGCACTTAATAGATAACGGCTACTTATCATGGTTCCAGAGTCCCTTAGTTCATGGGAAGTTTGGCACTGTCAACAATCAAATATCAAAGTAAACTTTTCCAAGGAAAACAGGGAGTATTTTAGGAAAATACTGCCATGTTCATTTAAATAAAGATGGTTTCTAAGGCCATTTTCATTTAGAGTACTTTTCAAGTCTTAGGAAGCATCCCAGTTTTTAATTGTACCACATACATACTGTAAAATGCACGTTCTTCGTGCCATTTCGAGCCTTGCTCTTCTTACTTGTGTTTTTGATAGGTGGATGTGATGAAGAATGCCTATAACCAAGGACTGGAATGTGATCATGGGCACGATGAGGGTGGAGATGACGGTGTTTCNCCCGCTCTTTCTGGGTTTGCTTTGGTCAGGGAAGGAAACTACGCTTACCCCTAATTGCAAGTTCTAAAATCAATTTGTTCCTATTCAGGGCAAGTAGGAGCCATGTCTAATTAAAAACTAGGATATTTTCCTTTATTTAGCCATCAAATGCAATGAACAACAGGAATTTCACGATGTGACATATCTAATAGCAGTTTTCTGTAGGAATAAAGGCCTCATGAACAGCAAATGGCACAATAACCAAAAAACAACCTTAAAACACTGGTACTTCTCAGTTGGAAAACAAGTCCAGTAAATTATGAATTAAGGTTGAGAGCCCGTGTTGTTCGTCTTCGTATCCTTTGTGTCTGGCATCATGTGTGGCCTAATGTAGGGGTCAATGAATGGTCAGGAGTGATGGCTCCACGGATGAATGGTCCTCCGTCACAAAGTCTTCCCCATCTGGCTGGAGCCGTTGGCATCCACTCCTTTAGCTGAGCTCCCGTAGCACTTGTTTCTTTAATACTCACTTGGCACTTCGCCCATACTCCAGCATAAATTCTTCTGAATGATTTTGGGGAAAGGGCTGGTGGCAGGACTTGAGTGGTTTTCTTGGAGATTGTCTTCCTTCCACAACCAGATATCCAGTTTGGACTTGCTAAAGAAACTGTCTAGGTAACTATATAAGGTTAGATGCAGATTATCCAGGGAATAGGAGTGAAGGATTTTTTTTGGCATCTCTAAGTAGAAGCAATCCTTGGGATTACAGTACTTTCTAGATTCTTGTTACTGGGACACTGAGGGTTATCAGATGGCATCATCTTGTTTTGTTGTTATTTGTATAATGTCTCACCCCTCCAATGAAATTTCATCTTTCTCAAAGTAGGGGGTCATATTCTATTCTTTATATCTACAGTGCATTATATCCATTCAACAAATATTTGTTGAAAGAGCATTAAATATTTAGTATATGAAGACCTTCTTTTAAGATGGGTTATAACAATCTCATTTACCAGCCTTACCCTATTCGGGTTTCTCTTGTTATCTACATCATTGTATAAACCAGATGTCAGCTGAGTGCTCCTGGATCAAAGAGGTCTGGTTGAGATGAACTTGAATCCTATTCCTTGCCTGTTTGCAGTCTAAAACCCATGCTTCCCTAAGACTTCTGCAATCCCTAGGGGACTGTACATTCTCAGTTTTCTTAGCCACTAATGTCTTGCTTTCTTAGCTTGTGGATTTTCTTGACACCCCTACTTCTGTAGTACTGAGATAAGACTCTGATTCTCTTTCTTAAGTTCTACCCTCCTAGTCATATAAGTCAATTTATATGTTTAATGTACTTTATTAAAGATTGATTGAGGAGGAGGTTAGAGGAGGTACTTATATTAGCATTTCAAATCGAACACTAGCAATAACAATAATGAAAATAATACCTCCTAAATATCAGGCACTGTTCTTATTGCTTTATGTGTATTAATTGTGGTTAAACCTCACAATTTATGAGGTAACTTTTATACTTAGCTTACCGAAGAAGAATCTGAGGTGTAGTTGGTTTAAGTTTCTTATTCAATATCATATGGCTAGTTAGAGATAGAATCAGGATTCGAACCCATGCAGTCTAGTCTGGCTCCAGAGTCTGTGCTCTTAACCACTATAAACATCTCCTTTCTAAAATAACCTGTACCTCCTGACTCTTGGGAAATTTCACTGGTTTATTCACTCTGTATCATGCTTTCGTCTTACTCCATCTCTCCAGTTCCTCACTTCATTTCCCTTCTCTATCCTCCCATTTCTTGTCCACACCCTCCTTCTTGGGGGAAAGTCCTTCCTCTGTCACACAGATATGTTTATTCATCACCCTTGGCTCCTGAGAAAAAACATAGAGTTTCCCTTTATGCAGCTTATGGAGGTAGTTTCCAAATAAAAAACCATTATCTTTAGTAAAAGAAATCCTTATAAAAGGATTATAAAAGCACACTTTTGTCTTTATTAAAATCATACTGTTCAGCTTTGTAGAGCTCTGGTTGAAAAAAGCTAGTCTAGGTAAATAATTTGCTGTTTTGAACTTAAGAAGGTACTTCATAAATTTAGTGATTTAGAGTCAGAGAACCTAGATTTAAATACTAACTCTACCACTTATGAGTTACATAATATTGGGCAAGTCACTTGTCATTACTAAACCTCATTTTATTAATCTATAAAGTAGAACCAAAAACACTGTGATTCATCACATTTGTACTGAAAGTGTCAATGAGATAACATTTGTCAAGGAACTATGTAAATTATAAAACTTTGTTTTAATAGAGGCACAAATTTTCTATAACTTCCTCATTAATAATATATTGGAACCCCTTCCTACCGTCTCATCCCATTATTTTAAAATTATAGGGTTTAGTCATCAGCTTAATTTGTGAGACCATAGAGGTCTGTGAATGTTGCATTTATCCTTTGAATTAACAGAACTGGCTTGACTGTTTCACTGTAGTTGCTATGGTTACTGTGGCTTTTTGGCCTACTTCCTTGAAGAGTTGATAGCCCTCTGCTTAGGAGCTTCCCTTTGTAGGTATGAAGCCAACTTCTAAGACTTCATAAAACTCGCTGAATGGATATTACTCATATCGAAAATTGCAGGACAGGCATCCATTTTAAGACCTGATGTTGTTGGAGTCTCACCTACAAGTCACAGGACCTGTNAAACAGGATGAGACGCTTAGGAGAACAAGGTCAAGGCTGGAGAAAGCATGCTTGACAGTCAAACCTGCAGAAGTGATTGTGCAACGGAGGATCAGATGAAATTGCTGATAGGGAGAGGGAAGATGAGGAGAGGATGGCAATGGAACAGAGGACAAAATCTTAAGGGCTTGAGAAAGAAGGATAACCAAAGCATGAGAGAGAGAAAGAGCAGTGAGAGCCAGGTGTTGCAGCATAAAAGGGAGGTGAGATTGGAAGGGGGAACGTGCATCAAGGCATGGGGAAAGGCCTGGGTTTTGCAGTCATGAATGGAGGTCAGGTCTGGCTCTTCACCTGTTAGCTGCGTGATCTGCAGCTAAGTACATACAGTCTTGGACCACAATTTCCATACTTGCAAGATTGGGGGTAACACCTCAGTAGTTTATGTATTAATTTAAATCGTCTAAACAAGTATTCTTTAAATAATTTCTTATATACATTCAAGTAACTATATGGCAAAGTATATTATTTTAAAAAATGCCTTGTAATCAGTACAAAACTAAAGACTTAGGAATTTTTAAATTGCATGTTTTATAAAGAAATACACTGTTTTTTGCCTACTGTCTACTGAATAAAGCTTTTGGAGTTTAAATATAGTTCACTTGGTCTTATCAAGCTTAATTTTTGATCACCTGCTGTACACCTAACACTTTTCTAGCTCTTTTTACTAAGCCCCTCCACTTAAGGCTTTTGCTTCCCAATTCTTAGGGTGTTTTTTAATCTATTTCTCTTTAGGTGCCCCTAATTTATTTCTTACCAACAGTGGGACCCTAAACTTTTAAAGCAATCTCAAATTTATAGCATTTGTAATTTTTCTAGTATAGTCATTGAAAGCACTATATTTTATTCTTTATTTCTAGGAGAAGCAAAATTATTATTATTTTCTTGGGAAATATATTTGCAAATTTTTGCCTCAGGAAATAGTATGCAGTATAAAATTAATTTTTTCCACATATCAACATCAGTGAAGAAATGCATTTTAAGTGACACTTTCATGTACTGATATTTTTCCCTTTTATTGAAAAAAGAAACAATAACACTTTTCTTGTTCTTTTTATTAGGGTAGCACATTAAGAAAAATACTTCTGAATCGATACTTTAAAGGTGATTATGGAGTTGGCATGAACGGACACCTTTCCGGAACCTACAGCAAATCTGCACAAGGGGGAGGCAAGCCTTATCACTTTTCCTCATTTTAAGATTCTTATAGCATATTATTATGTCACTATCTAATATTTTACTTAAAAGAGCACAAATATAAAAAAAATCTTTTAAAAAGCACTATTATCAGTGATAAAAAAAGAAAGAAATCCTGCTACTTGCAACAACATGGATTGGCCTTGAGGCATTATGCTAAATGAAGTAAGACAGAGAAACACAAATACTGTGTAATCTCATTTATGTATCTAATCTTAAAACAAAACAAAACAAAAAAAACCTCACAGAAACAGATCGTATTTGTGGTTGCCAGAGGTGAGGGTTGGGGAGTAGGGAATTAAGTAAAGGAGGTCAAAAGGTACAAACTTTCAATTATAAAAGAAATGAACACTGAGGGTGTAATATACAACATAATGACTATAATTGATAATACTGTATTATATATTTGAAAATTGCTGAGACTGTAGATTCTCAAAGTTCTCATCACAAGGAAAAAAATATAACTGTAAGCTGATGAATGTTAAATCTTTTTGTGGCCATCATTTTGCAATAATACATAAATCATATTGTATATCTTAAACTTATATGTCCATTATATCTCAATAAAACTAAAAAAAAGATGCAAAGCACTATTAAAAACCTTTCAACAGTTTCAGGTTCATAAAACAATGGATTTGAACATTAGAATTNTCTTTGAGGGAAAACCCTAAATTAAGCATCTTTAGTTTGCAGTTTTCATTAGCATTTGAATTTCCAGTTGAGGACTTAGTTTTCTAGGATAATGGTTGTGCTGTCATATTTTGATGGTGTCTTGATGATATTGTCCACAATGGAAAAAAAATATTACTTTAGTTTGTAATTTTTCTAAGGGAAAGGGAACAAATGTGGAATGGGTACCTCAAATATCAAATTCTTGAACTCTTCACTCCTAATGCTATTAACTCCTTTTAAGGCAGTGTTGTGCTCTCTCAAAAATCAAAGGAAATCTTCAGTCCTTTCTATGACTAATAAATTTTTGTTATCCTTTCTCTCCATGAAAGGCAATAATTCCTAAGGCTTCTTAATTTTTGATACAGTGGAGTTGGTGAAACAGGAAGTGGCCAGGAAAAAACCAGTCTTCCCAGATAGTCACAAACTGTCAGCATGACTTCTCT